AAATCATACTTTTTCCTTAAAGTCCTGGCTTGTCCTACCAAATCAGACAAATTAGGTGTCAGACGAATCAGAATTCTCAGCTGATCAAGAACCATTAACAAAATTTAGACATTTTTATATTCTACGGCCATTAGCCACGCCCAAACAATGTCCAAATTTGGCCCGTTTTGGTCTGATGGCTATAACTTGGCCGTGCCTTGGCCTACCTAGACCAAATTTGAAATCCTACATCCCGACACCATTCTGGGGACACGGTCCAAGGCGGGCTGCATTTCGTCAATAGGGGGCGCTACAACTAAAAACTGCCAATATCTTCTGACTGCCTTTGAAGCCCACTTTGTGCAAGCTCCACAGTTGTCATGCCTTCAGTGCTTGCAGTGGACCAGTGTTCCTCCCTTACAGAGGAAGACGAGCCCTTGCAAATATCACTTTGTGTGCAATTAATAGGATTTTCTTGTCACTCATGAAACATTTACAATTTCTGTAATTGCCCAGAGATCAACATTGTGCCTGTTAGAGAGAAAGCTGATGTCTTTGGGATCAAATTCTGGACTAAGATGTATCCACTGTTGTGATTGTGTCCTTGAATAAGCCATTTTAACCCCCCCCACCACCAGCATTTGTTGCCTCTGGCCTAAATGAGGTAGTGAGTACTTTTGAAACTAAATGTGGCATTTTTAGGACAGTTCTGATTTTAAATTGGGAAAGTAGACCAATCATTCCATATAACGTGTAAGGTGATGGTTGTGAACTATTGGGATGTCCAGCAACATTGGGGCTGTCTGTAGGGGGGTGGGGAGGACCTACTTCTGTAAGAACTGGTGATAGAGAAGCCCCACCGCCTTCCATGGGCCTCCTGGATTGTAGCCAGGTGTTAGAAACTGCATGCAGTGGCATCTTAAGTGGCTTGATTCCTCAGGAAGGTTTCATGCTTGTTCCCTTACCAGCATTTTATGAACAAGTTGCTTATTTACACTGAAGTCTGTTAAATGAGCCCAGTAGTCTGTCAGAGCCAGCGAGCCCACCTCAGCACAGACTCGTCTCCATCTACCCTTTTCCTTACCTAGAATCTTTACTTTTAAGCTTTAAAAGCTTTCTTTGTCCATTGGTATTCGTAAGCATTTTACTTTTTATGGATTTTATTGTATTTAATATTTAATTTAAGCTGTTCACTAGGCTTGGGTTGTTGGCTAGTACAGAGTCACAGGCAGGTACCAATGCTAGGTACCAATTATGTTCACCCTTTAATTCATTTGAAAGCTCTTCAGGTCATTGTTAGTATTACACATTTATCTTTTTAATATTAAACTGTCAAAGTAGGACAAGCTAACATCTGGTGATGTTTAGTAGCCATAATGATGGTGAGATCGTGTGGCAGAGTGGTTCTGTCTAGCTACAGGCTCCTCCCCTAAAGCTCCCTACCTTGGTACAGACCACAGCAGGAAGATGACAGGCAGAGCATGCAGTGTGGCCTTGTGCATTATGTGTCCTGGGGAGAGGTCACAAATTCCTGCAGCATTTTCTGTCCATTGTTAGCACAATCTGCATCATTTTTTTGGTATGAAAACCAAAAGCAAAATAGTTTGAGTCACTTTCCAAGTGCAATATGAACTTAGAATTATCTTCTTGGGGGGGGGGAAGGATTCAGTAGGTAAATGTTAAATTCTAAAGGTCACATGGTCTTTAAACATCTCCATTTGCAAGATTAGCAGTCTGAAATGTTTGTTTCCTGTAGTCTAACATTCATTCTGATGCCTTTTACTATGCAAATGCAGTATCACAGTAGCAGTTTCGTAATAAATGTGTGAAATTGATCAAGCTGTTGTCTAGGTTCATTTCTTTTATATTGTCATAAATCCTGAAATGCTGATGCCACTGATTTACTTCCTTTGTGAAATCATGTTTTGGAGGCAAAAAAAGGTCAATATTTTCAGATCTGTCAGGTGTTCTAATAATTTTGGCCACCACTTTATATATATATACTGTATATATTCACAGGATAAACAGGCAAAGCTGATGTACAAATTACGGGGGAAAAATAGATACCTCACTTTTTGTCCCATTGTAATTCTAAAACAAGGCTCTCTGGGATGGAGAGTATGACTGCAAATCAGACCCACATTGTTACAATTTATAAGGTCAATGGATTTTTCCACTAAAAGACATATCACTTGTGCCTCCGTCATTCCACTGGGATGGTAGAATCACAGAAGCAAACAGGAACATAAGTAGGCAGGACCAAGACAGACAGACAACTTACATTTTTTTTAAGTACAAATCTTATGCTCCACAGCCATGCACCAGAAAGAATAATAGAAATGCTTCATAAGACTGACTGTTTGTAGCGCACGTACATTCATTCCAGTCTAAGTGGTTGTAATATTATCAAAACTCTGCAACCCCCCAGATGGTCCACAAAAATTTTCCAGCTAAGGCAGCAGAAACTTAAAAAATCCACTATTTCCATCTAGTACTGAGTAATGTCAACCGGATTGCCAATCTACTACTTTAAATGACATTTACAGTAGAGTACATCAAGAACTGTGTAGAATCCAGCACAAAAACAATGCAAAAACCCACCCCCGCCCCCCACACACACAAGCACACAATGGGAAGAATGGACATATATCCCTCATTTATTTTCTGTTCAGATTATCCCTGACAATTTAATAACAAAGATTAACCATTTTTATAGAAAAGCAGGAGTGTCAAAGTCCCATTTTCATAAACAGAGGGAAAATTAAAATACAGCATAACCGATTGTGATTAAAAAAAATAAAGTTTCTGAAAACCCATAACCACCACATGTAAGGTGAGGCTGTCACCTGGAACGGGTTAAATAATGAAGTACATGAAATGGAACAAAAGCAGACTAGAATGGGCAGTTACATACACCAGCCAAGCCTTAAAAACACACTAGTACTGAAACACGGGGAAAACTCAGACTTCTGTATACTTTTATAACAGTGCAAAAGTAAAATATACATTAAACTGTGCACCACCTTGTGGACATATAGGATCATGGCATGCTGTGATTAAAACATGAATGTCGTGACCTGGCAGCTGGGATCAGGATTGATGTGCAGCAAAACATCCGAAAACTGTAGTTCATCCTGCTAGATTCTCATGGACAGACATGACAGGCATATACATTAGTGCAGTGTTTCTTAACCCTGCCCTCAAGGACCCCCCAGAGTGTCCACACTTTTGCTCCCTCCCAGCTCCCAGCAAAAAGGTGGACAGACTGAATGTCCCCGAGGACCGAGGTGAGAAACAGCTTTAGTAGGTCAGGTTAATTTTATCAGTGATAAGCATTCAATCTCCTTCAGCAGATTCTCAAACAGGCTGGACAAATTCTCACAAAATCACTCACAGACATTTTTCACTGGAAAAAGGCCACATCACCGGCCAGGAAGTGTGACGGGTACTGGAGAAAATTTAATCTGAATGAAATTGGACGCATCATATTTACTGTGTCATCTCCCTTCATTGCAGACCCTGCCAGAACCTTGTGCAGTGCTCTGTAGATACACAAACTTTGCTTACAAAAACCCAGGGGCAGACGCCTGAAATCCATGCAGCTGCACGCACTCAAGTGATTCTGTCCATCTGTCTGTAATACCAGCTCCCACCCGCAGGTGGCTGACAAGCCTTACCCACTCATTCAGGCTGAACTGCAGCTTGCAGAGTCCCTTCCATGTTACTACACTCCCATGGGCACACCAGCTGACACCACCTCTTCAGTACAGGGAAGAAAAGAGGCTTTAAAAAGCAAATAACAAGAGAAGACCCTCATTAAGCATGGGAGCAGGTTTAGTTGGGGAGTCGTTTCAGGATACTGCATGAACTTTGACCCTTCTTTGGGAGAGAACTGAACTGGAAGGTGGACAATACTGGCATCTGGTGGGGATTAAAAGACAGTCTGGCACTTCAAGCAGCAGTGGGCCCCCGGCAACAGAGATTAGGCATCAAAGGTAGAGTAGTCCAGTCCATCCAGGGTGAGCTGGCTGCGGTGGGGGGAGTTGGGGCTGGGTGGACTGCTGAGGTTGGAGCTGTTAGAAGGAGTTGAGTGCTTGGTAGAGTCTGAGTCAGGCTGGGTGGGGGGGGGGGGGGG